AGATATATCTTTTTTTTTTTTAAATAAATTTTAAGTCTCTAAAAACCCAATGATGGATGGGAGATTTAAGTCATTAACTAAAGAAAAAAATTAATCAAAATTTCTTCCTCAATTTTTGATAAAAATTTTTAGATTTTATTTGAGACAGTTTTTTACTATTCATTTGTCAGACCACGTACAACTATAATTTATATTTAGTTGCCACTTTTTCATTGCCTTAAAAAATTTTATATTAAATATTATTTTTTACAATTTTAAATTATTTATTTCTCTGCAACTGTTTTGCAAAATAATAAGAAAGCTAATCTTAACGAAGCCTTAGCCATTAAATTTATTTTGAGATATGTAAAAAAAATAAATTGATTAATCATGTATGTATTGCATTATTTTCAAAATATATTTAATAAATTGGAAATTCATCTAATTTAAATTTAAATTAGATTATTCTAAATCAATAGTAAAAAAATGTATCAAAATTATAGGAAAAAAACTTAAGTTATAAGATAAATGTTCATTAATCAGAACATTTTTTTTTTTAGTTGACAAAATCAATCCATGCTGCTCTATTTTATGTTTGTCCTATAACTATACGAATTTCATACTATCATTATAATGTAAATTACATGTTTTTTTTTTCCCATTAACCCAAGCTTTCTCCCAAACAAAATGCACGAAGATCCTCCTCGTTCTTTTTCCTGCTGGTTGTTCTTGATTGGTTCATGTAGTTGTGGGCTGTGGTTGAGTTCCTCTTCCTTCTGGTTTTTCTTCGTTGGTCTGGTTATATTTGTGTTTTGCTGAGGCTTTCTTACTTGAACTTTTTTTTTTTTCCGATTTCTCATTCTTTTTCTTGATTTTTTGCAAGTGTTTGATGCATGGGTTACTTTTTGGGGGCCTCCGGTCAGTTGGTGGCGTTTTTGGATGGTTGTTTGCTGGGGCTCTTCTAGCTGCTTTCATTTGACCCTCTCAGTGGTTTGTCTTGCTTTTCTTTATTTTGTTTGTTCTTATATTAGGAAAAATAAATGGCTCATAGGTTTTACTTCAAATATTATACTATTTTTATAGAGATTTTAATTCATTAAGGACTTATAACTTTTTATTTTAAGTAACGCGTACACCCGTATGTGAGTTTTATTTAAAAAAAAAAAAATCTTAACGCCCAAATACTTCAAACAACAGCATTCAAAGCAGCTTAAATAGCTCTATCCGGCCATGATTATTGCTTAAATAACACCACCATATGCTCACTACGCTAACTTCGCAGCCTAATTCAAATGTTACTTAACTTTCATAAGACAAATGAACTGCTTTATCATCAGTCGAACATCTATCAAGCTTCAACGAATTCCGTTTTAGTTAACTAACAGTAATGAAAAAGAAGAGAGAAAGAAATGAAGAGGAGATGAAGACGGTAGAGAAAGACAAATATGTGCTGTGAAAAAGGATCATATAGCAATTTAGTTCCGTTGTTTTGTTGCGATGATTAGCTTTGTGGTAGTCGAGGAGATATTGGAGAAGCCAAAGAGTTAGTACTGCTAAAAGGAGAGTTTCCTGCATGTGAAGTGTTTGGTACGTGGTGAGTTTGTCTTCACGGCTTCTGGACAAGAGATTTAGAACAAGTGATGGAATATTTTTTATTGGTATAAAAATAAAAACGAGAAGATTAAAGCCGAATAGCAAAATCGTTTTCTCATGCAATAATAACAAACAGATGAGATGGAAGTTCGGAAAAATATTAATTTTGGAGGGGAAATATTGAAGCCCGTACATGCGTACACTTCGCCTCCCCGTCGGCTTCCGCGCTCACGAGACCGCACGTCTCCAAGCTCTTTTTGTTCGCGCCAGCGCACGCCAGTTCACGAGAACACGCTTCCTAGCAAGCGGCTCTCTCTCTCTCTCTCTATTATTTTCATGAAAACAATTTTTGGATGATAAGATAAAATATTTAAATTGATAAGAAAAAAATTTGAAGTTAGAAATTTTTTTTTAATTTAGAAAATATTTAAATTTTTCTTTAGGAAAGATTTAGGTTTGGTTTGAGAGGACTGTTTTACGGCTTTTTAAATTAGCTTTTAAGTTATTTTAAGAAACACTAAAAAAAATATCCTAAATAAAACCTTAGTATGTATATGAGCATATATATATATATTTTCATTTTGATATTTATCCAAAAATATCTTAATATTTTATAAATAATATCTTCATTCATTATAAATTAAAATCATGTTATTTTATAACATTTAACTATAAGAGAAATGGCACGTGATTTTATTTGTAACCTCATCTTACTCAAAATTAGATTAAATTATTTAAATATAATTTTTTTGTTGATGTTATCTCTCTTGTCTCTTCTCTTTCCTCTTTCTTTCGCTCTCTCTTTCTCTTTGAAAAAACATATCATATTTATATGAGCATATCGGCCATGCAAAAATATGTTAAAACAAGCTCGTTTTGTGCAGGATACGTTTGCGGTTGGAAGGGCTGTGCTGAAGGTGCTTTATATTCCCCTTTTCTTTTTTGTTCGTAGAATGTTATTAGGGTATTTTGTGATTTGGATTAGAAGGGAACTCCGGCTCTTAGTTTTCTTTTTGATTTTGTTTGTAGCTCTTCGGAGCAGTTGTGAGCTGGTGGTCCCTTTAAGGATCTTGTACCTTTTTCTAATATTAACACGTAAGCCCGTCAGCGGATTTTAACAAAAAAAAAACTTTAATTTTAATTTTACTGTTAGTTCTTTTATGAGCATTTTTAACGTACGTGCATGTACATGAAATACTGCAGTGAATATTTTTATTAATGGTCTAAACTTACAACTTTTGACTTCTATATTATTAAAAATATATCATATTTATTTTGGATTTGAACCTTAAGAACGCAAATATTTCTGGTCGGACAGCTGAACGATATGAGCTTAGGCTAATACTTTAAACATTATTTTGTTTTGATTTTTTACTAGTTGAAACATATATTTTTAAAAAAAAATTCATTATTGGTTATTTATATGTGGTTTTAAATTATTATCTTTTAAGATTTCTAAGAGTGTGTGAGGACCTGGTCAAAGTCTTTCAAATGACGAGCACTAATGACAGATGTTTAAAAAATATTAATTTTCAAAATATACTTATAACTTGAAACTATTTTTTTTTTATGCATATTTTGCAGATTTAGTATAAAATTTATGTCAAAACATTTCAGAAAAGTTAGCTTTTCTATCAAAATTTACGGCGAAGTAATGTCCAACGCAAATGTCATTGGATTTGCAATGGATTTTTTCATAGAAATTATTTGACGGTTTTTTAGGCTGATTTGTTAAGAAATTCCGTCAGAAATTTGCAGCGGAAATCGCCGTCGCAAACTAAGTTATAATATAAATTAAAAAAAAAAAAATTAAGCTAGTGGAGGATGGTGTTTGACGAGTGGACCGGGGCTCGAATCTCGGGAAAGCGGTCATGCAGGAGATGATCCAAGAAGCGGGAAGTCTGATCAAGCGTGGACAGCAAGCAGCTCAGTTAGGTGCGGGATGCGAGTAGATCAGTCAGGCGCGGGCAGTAGGCAGCACGACGGGTGGGCGTATTTGTGGTTTTTTTTTTTGGCTGAAATTCCGCCACAAATTCGTTATAAATCCTCCATAAATATTTGCAGCAGATTTTCCCCACCAAAAATTGTTTTACGATGCTATTTTTTGCGCCAGATTATA